GATTATTCACTAGCTACTCGTGATTGCCGTGTAGTTTACTGCCTCACAGTTGCAAATCTGAGCGCTTGGCGTCCGGAATGCCATCTCAACGGTACAAAGGGGCAGACGGAAGACGAAACGTACTAGGGAGATGACTCGTACGACCAATTGCATTCTCTTGCAAGTTCTCAACCACAAATGGCGTGAGAATTGAGAATCCACGAAGAAAAAACGAGATTTGCATGAATCATCAGCATCATCTTCATCTAGTTGTACCGGTACGATGTACGATACCATAACGTTCGTACATGACAAAACCAAGAGTGACATCATACCTTCCGTAMCGATACAGGTGAAAAAAATACTACTAGTACAGTACCGTGCTTACTTCAAATCATCCGCATGCTGTAGAGAACGCCCAACGATCACCACTGAAAGAGTCTCACAGAAAACATCCATCAATTGATCGAAGCACTACCTTATACCACTCATCGTCAGCAAACACTAGAATTCTTCGGGTATAACGACGGCGTTATGGGTTCCACAGAACAACGCCTAATTTTCGAATCCTTCTTCTTCGGCAGACGACAATCATTGACTGTCGTTTTATTGCTTCTATCCTTGTCTGGGAACATGACCTCGACTCTTGCTTTCTTCTCTCGGTCCTTTTCGAAGAGTAGAGCTCTAAAACCGAGATGTATTTCTGCGAAAGCTGCTGCTATGTCTGCTGATTATGATGTCATTGTTGTCGGCGGAGGGCATGCGGGTTGTGACGCTGCTGCAGCTGCTGCCAGAACCGGCGCCAGGACTGCCCTGGTGACACAAAGGCTCGATACAGTCGGCGAGCTCAGTTGCAACCCATCCATCGGAGGAATTGGCAAGGGTCATTTAGTCCGTGAAATTGATGCACTGGACGGGTTAATTGGAAAAGTTGCCGACGAAGCTGGTATACATTATCGTGTTTTGAATCGACGAAAGGGACCTGCCGTAAGGGGGCCACGGTACGTTCAAAAGATGGAAACTTGTCCTGATGATATATTTTAATTCATTTGTTTAAATGGAATCTCAAATGTCGGTTAACGTATATCATTGCATCAAGCTTAAAACTGATATCACCTCATTTCTATGATAAATCTGATCTCATGCAACATCTTCAGAGCACAAATGGACAGAGATTTATACAAAGCTAGTATGCAACAAACGCTCAAAGAATACCCTAACTTAGACTTAATTGAGGCTAGCGTCGAAGATCTTTTGATAGAGGAACCTTCCAATCTGATTCATATTAACAGCAACAGCAAGCCTCAAATTCGTGGTGTATTGACGGAACAAAATGGGGTGAAAGGGGAACTGACATCGAATGCAGTTGTGATCACTACTGGAACTTTTCTAAGAGGAGGTATGCATGGAAATCTGAATGAAATGTACCATGGACAAAATCTTCATTAGGCTCTTCCATTCTGCTTGGAATCTCCTCTGGTATTCACAATTTTTTTCACTCCTTCATTCTTTAAAATCATCACATATGCATTAAGTATTGATGCTGGGTCACGATAGGTACAGTGGTGGGCGTCATCTGCGTGATTCTGAAAAAGTGGAGCCGCCATCAATTGGCTTGGCGAAAACGTTGGCTCGATACGAGTTTGAGTTAGGAAGGTTGAAGACGGGCACTCCAGCGAGAATCGATGGTAAAACTATTGATTGGGATATTCTTTTACCTCAACCATCTGAAATACCTGCTACTCCATTCTCACATCTACTTCAATTTAATGACGAACAGCCTCCTTTGGTTGATCAAGGAAAAGTTGTTACTTGCCGCCAAACAGCTACCAATGAAGAAACACACAAACTGGTAATGAAATATGAGAGTACATTACCTATCTACGATGGGATGGATGGCGCAGGTAATGGCCCCCGATACTGTCCCTCCCTCTACAAAAAGGTCCAGAGATTCCCGGATCGAAATTCTCATAATTGCTTTCTTGAACCAGAGGGTTTGAACACTGATATTGTGTATCCCAATGGTATGAGTGGACCATATCCGGAAGAAGTCCAATTAAAGATTTTGAGATCTATGAAAGGCTTAGAAAATGTGGAAATCATTCGTCCTGGTTATGACGTAGAGTATGATTTTGTCAACCCAATTTCATTATCGCATACATTGGAAACGGAAAGAATCACGGGTTTATATCTAGCAGGTCAAATCTGTGGTACGACAGGTTATGAAGAAGCTGCGGCACAGGGTGTCGTGGCAGGTGCCAATGCTGGCAGAGTAGCGTCAGCAACTTCAGCCGGTTTATCGACGCCAAAACCTTTTATTATTGGTAGAGACGAAGGGTACATAGGTGTGTTGATTGATGATTTGGTTACGCGGGGCACCTCAGAACCATATCGAATGTTTACATCACGAGCAGAATATCGTATTTCTCTTCGCGCAGATAACGCTGATCTGAGGTTGACTAAGAAAGGTAAAGATTTTGGCCTTGTACGAGACGAAGAGCGCATCTCTGCACTGGAAGCTAGAGGATACCTTATTGATGACAGAGTTCAAAAACTGCGTTCTTTCGATTTGAAAGTAACAGAATGGGCAGAACGCGGTGGAACGGAATTGATGGGAGGTTCACGAATGGGTAAAAAGACAGGAAACAAAAAAAGTGCAGAGGAAGTTTTGCAAATGCCGCATGTCACTCTTCGTAATGTAGAGGACATAATGATTGCCGTGGATCGCGAGAGCCGCAAGAAAAATGTTTCCGACAACGACGAAGTCACTGAATCGTTCGAATTGACTTGCTCTCCAGCTTCAGTTTATGATTCCGTAGAAGCAATAGTGAAGTACAGGTCTTACGTAGATCGCCAACATCAGGATATGGAAAGCTGGCGGAAAGCGCAAGGGATGAGAATACCACCAGACATTGTTTATGAACACGACTTATTCCCATCGTTTTCTAAGGAAGAACTAGAGAAGCTAGCTGAAGCACGCCCTGATACTTTTGCTGAAGCTTCGAAAATTAGTGGAGTCACTCCTCAGAGTTTGGTATACCTCTACCATCATGTCACCAGAAGGAACCGCAAACGAGATCGGCGAGAAAAAGCAACAGCAAGAAAAGTCTGAAGCACTGAATCTTTGGAAGTCGAAATTCTAATCGTTAGATTTCTTTTTTGTCGTGCAAGAAACCTTTTCCCAATTTTTGAATTACGATACTATTAAAGAAGAGTGAATACGCACAGTATACTAGATAAAAGATATTGAATGCTTTCTTAGTTCCAGAACCCTTGTGCAGCGAAGGGAACTAATTTTCCGACCTACACGTGACAACTTAACCATGCATCTCAAAACATTGATGGTAGATGCTTCTTAGCTAGATCTTTGTGTGATGTGTTCTTAAGCCCTTTCAACAGAGTCAATTCGTCGATGGCAAGTGAAGTCAACGGCCAAGCCCCACCACTTCCGCCATGAGACTGTCGAAACGTTCTGGAAGAACTCTTTCTTGTATTTAATTCAACGAGATTCATCTAGGACAATTTTTGCTGAAGTGAGGGTTTTGGTGAACTACGGGTTTTTGGTAACGGTGTCTGATTTGGGCTCAAAACTTACCTCTCCAAGTCGATGTAGAAGTCGGATAGTTTCCCCGAAAGAAGGTGCTGGTATATACTGAGGGTTCCCTGAAGCACTTGCGAGAGCTTCCATCTTTATCAGTATGTCATTTACATCGAAGCCACCCACTTCATGACCAGAAGATCTGGAAAGAGAAGCCAAAGAAACTAACAAGAGCGTTTCAAAAGGTGAAGAAAACGAAACAGCCGTCACCATCGCCATGTTGAAAGACTCTAAACTTGCTTTCTGCACGTCGCTGATCCTAATTTTCGGGAAATCATCTGTTCCATTTGAATCAATTGCTTTCTTTTCTTCAAAACGTCGCGTTACAAGTTCAGCAGCCGATCTGCATATCTGAAATGCCTTCCGTATATCACCACTCAACGCTGCGGTCTTCTTGGCTGCAAATAAAATAGCGTCATCTTCGAAAAACATGAAATTCTAAACGGTAAAATTAAGTCGCAGGATCAAAATGATAAACACCCATTCAATCAGTACGAGTATTCTTACCGGGGATCCTTCCTTCATCTTCGATCTCAGAATTGATATTGTATCGTCAAGACTGTAAGCCTTAAAAACGCACTTTTCTGTTCCCATACGAGATTGAACGCTAGCCATCAAGTGATCTATCAAGTTTAGTGTATTTGATATTCCAATAACGATAAGCCGACTGGTGCTGGAAAGTTCAGCTGCACGCTTGGGCCAATCGAATAAGTTGTATAATATAGATTGGTCATCCGTGACAAGGTAATCAATTTCATCCAACAGAACAATGGTTGTACAGTTATTTGGAAGATCGGATTCAGAAGTTGTCGAGGTGAAAAACGCTTCGAGCCGTTCGCAGGCACGTTCGTGTGGACCAAGGTGGGTTCTTTCGGTCAGAGCTTCCCAAAATCTGATGTATATATCCGAGGGGTGTCGTACCTCAATACCATTCAATGGTATAAATCTAAATGTGGGAATATTCCCTCCCTTCAGTTCGTGATGTAGCATAGAAATGGCCGCGCGAACAGTTGCAGTTTTACCCTACAAAATTTTCGATTGTAGAAAAAGAAAGACGAGATGTTGTCAAAGAAAAGGAGCGAATTTGAATTGAATATGTTGTGGTCGTGACTTTATCACTTTAAGATCGCATTCGAGTTGAACAAACTTACGACTCCGGGGGGTCCTGCCAGAAACATGGATGATTTGTAACCTTTGGATTTGTGATCTTCGAGGAGAGCAGCCCTAAGAAAAGCAAGAAGCTGGGAAAGCTCTTTTTCTCTTCCTACCAAAGTCTCTCTACCCTTGTAAGCATTTTTTGATGCATCTTTCAGAGTTAGCTTCCATATCAAATTCACCATTGAGTCCTTCCAATTCGTAAGACTTCTTTTCAGTTCAGTTGAATCGGATTTCTCGAGGTCTTCCTCCAACCCCAACGTCGAATGGATCAAGCCTCGCTTAATCCTCCCATTTAATCCACTGCAAGGTATCAATGATCGCCGTTTTGTAGACCAAAATCGCGTACAAACGAAGTGTTTAACGTCCCCCCTCTTTATACCGATAGTATCCTCCACAAGTTTGACATGATCTAGAATTGCATGGCTTGCGTCAACTATTTGACAATGATCAGTTTCATACACCTCAATAAATTCTGATGAATCATCCGCTGACAAAGCTACCAAAGAGAGATCACTCCTTTCGTAGAACCAGCGAATTTCAATCTGAAATTGTTTGTTTCGTTGCTCCTTCGGAGTTAAGAGGTGTTCACGATGAAACTCATCATGTGATAAGAACTCTTTGAATATAGCGACAACTTCTGCGACGCCCCAATTACAGTCATAAGGATATCGTTTGGATCCCTCGAATCGGACTTGAATGGTGTCTCCTATCTTTATAGTCCTTGATGTGAAGTTCTGCTGATAAATGTTTCCACGTAAACATACTCTGAAGTTCGGTACTAAAGTCATTTTGGTATAGAATGCCCTAAAATGTAGCGCATCAACACGGAAGGCTTTGTTGCTACACCGATGTTCATCAGAGTTTCGTTCAACGTCGTTAAAAACTGGAATTAGCGACGAATCTTCGCAAACATGAGAATTTTCATCTTTTGCTTCTGTATCTGTTCTAGGTTTGTCACGTCTGTTTAATTTTGATAAAGAYGAAGCTGTCTCTCTATCGAACTTCAAAGATTTTGCTGCAAGAAATTCAGATAGGGGGAGATGAATATGTATCTTTGTCAGATCAGTTGCACAAATAGCATCCGGAGAATATAGCGTAAGCGGGCCTAGTAGATCTGTCGATGTTACTGTCATTGTTTTTGTCGGATGATGTTCAGCAATTTTCCTTTTTTCATTGTGATCATCATTCTCAATTGATACTTCAAATTTCAGGCATCGAATTTCAAAACGTGCAATTTCATGTCCGCCTGCTTTTGACTCGGTATATATAGCGAGGATCTGGGCTGGAAACCATGGGACCGTGAAAGGATAAAATGATGCGCTGCTTTGGGGTGTCTCAGAATCATTGACAGCAACGACATCGCCAATTTTAAGTTTCCATACCTTTCTTTCAGAACAATCAGCAAGGGGCAAATAATTTGTGGCATGAAATAGAGACCAATGCGGGCAAAGCAGAGCTTCTTCGTAGAATGAAATATTTGCAGACGATGATGATGTTTGATTTTTAAGACCCACACAGGAGCCCTCCTGTGAATTCTTAGCAGAGGGGAGTGCATCGCAAGTTGGTCCTATATTCGGTAATTGATATTTCGCATTTGGAAGCTCATCTCCCAATCTATTGCATTCATGAAGAAATGAAGATTGACGACATCCTCTCTCTCGCAAACCCTGCTTCCAACGCGCTGGTGACAAAGCTGACCAGTATATCGGCTGCAATCTCTGGAAGGTTTTGAGGTAGAAAAAATTGCAACGACAACAAATTATATTCTTCTCTCCAGTACTGCCCGAGAACACCTGATTTCCTAGTATTACATTGACAGTACCCAGAAGGAAATTAGCAGCTATTCCTAATTCGATGTCGTTGGATTCAAATATTTGTTCGTGAGTACCCTCTGTATGCAACGGCAAAAACTGTTTCGCATCATTTGAAAGCTCAGACAATTTGTAAAAGCGCCGTATTTCGATCTTGATACTATCTTTATCACCCACGATCGACTCCTTACGAATACTCAGAATCTGGCCATATGAGAATGGGATTCGAAAAGGATACCAAGGGAACTTAATATGCTGTGCGGATGCGTAGGTTTCAGGCACACTTGCATTGCTGTCAAAATAGCAAACGATATCTCCAGGCATGAATTCAAATAAGGTTTTTCTTCTTCGCTTCATTTCCATGGTAGGTGATACAAGGTATGCAATCGGCGATGAAACAGAGATAGATCTGTAAAAGTCTTGTGATCCTTTTTCAGGGTTAATTGTGAAAAAGTGCTCGCCTAATTCCACCGTAATTTCCTCTGATTTGAACGATATGTCTGTCCACTTTCTTTGTCCCATGACATTTCTCTCTTCACTCCATCTGCATAAGTGGTGGTGATCTGGGTCACTGCCCCGCATTCTTAATGCTCTTGTATAAAATTGAGACAGTTTTGGCACCAACTCCTTTCCCTGACGATTCGTCGGTCTGAGTAGTAAACCACGTGATAGACCAGGTGGTATTTGTGGAAGAGTCAAGTCGTAGTTCGTCCAGTCCGTTGATGTGCCAATTTCTTCGTCGAAACAGATATGAGTGCACAGGCGGGGAATTAGAGGAAGCCCAGTCACATCACTTATTGTCACATCCCAGTTCTCACTTTCCTCTACAGAAGTAAGAATGATCCGTCCTGGTAGTGCATCTGATATCGGTAGGTGCTCATATGCTTCGGTTTCAAACAAAACGTAATCCTTGTTCAAGGCATTTAAACTAGATTTGTGTGTTTGTAATATTTCATCGTATCGATCAAACCATCTTACTTCCATCATCCACGATTCACATTCTTTTTGATACAAAGACACAACCTGACCCGGACACCATTTTTTCTCGAAAGGATACCACGCATCGCTTTTCACCTCGCTTTTCACCTCGCTTAATTTGGCATTTTTACAGTGAACTGCAATTATATGCCCCACAGCCAGCGTCCATCGACAACAACATTTCGAATGCAAGCGTTGCCGCAAATCTTTTTTTCGTACATTCAAGCAAACAGCATCGACATATTTATTACCCAACTCGTTGCAAAAGACTCCGATTGATTCCGGAACAATATCGAAAAAAAAAGCATTGGTTGTTGAGGTTTTGTGAAGACTATGAGCCTTGGTAGTTTTGGAACTCTTCGTAAGCCACTCGGTATACTTTCTCTTTAGTTGTCTGGGCATTTTTTGGATAGCTCGCTTAATAGGTCCAGGTAGAACATCTTTCAGATCAGTCTGGGAGCGCTCTAGACAAGTAGCATGATCATAATTCCAATCTAGATTTCTTGTAATCTTTCCATGCGAATGTTCGAGATGCTGGCAGAGCATTCGGACAATCGGAAAGTCGTTTTCTCCTTTGACTTTTTTCGGACGCGTAGAAAAAATGTCGCTGTCAGAAGTCAACTGGATAGAAGCCGGTAATAATTCTTTGACGGAGCAATCACAAGATTCGTACGTTTCTAAAACTCCATACGTTTTATTCATGGATTTGAGCGTCTGAGTCCAGCGTTCAGCTTGAAGCTCTGGTAGCCGATAAAACCATCTGATGGTCAATCTCCACTCATCGGTTTTGTTGTTTCTCTCTCGAAAGATGTTGGTGATCTGTGCAACGCCCCAAGGAAGTCGAAATGGAGACCATGAGCTGGTGGTTGATATAGACTCTTTGTAGTGAATAGCAACTACACTACCTATCTTGATGACAAACGGAAGGTTTGCATTATCATTAGAATGAATGTCATTAACGATTCCTCCTTCATCATCCAAAAGAGAACATACGACTGCGAAAGGTATCATTATTTGCAGCTCTCGAAAGAAGTCTCTGTGTTTCGTTTGGTAAAATGGAACAGCATCTTGAATAAATGAGGTATTGAGCTGCCATTCATTAAATGTATCAAGCACATTCAACGGCGAAGTTGGCTTATCAATTTTGCAAGTTCTTTTCATGCTTTGTAATTTTGTCGTATTTGATGATATGATGGTCTCATTTTCATCGTAATTATTATCATCCGCTACATCATCATCATTTGTACTGAAGATTTTTGTTCGAAGTTTATGTTTATTCCTTCCTCTCCCAGCCCCACGTGTAGGAAGTGTGGTATCTGTTGAGTGGGTATCACGAGTTGTGGTAGAGGCAAGGTCATCTTCGTTGATCCCTTGATTGCCTGCATTTTTGTTTACCGTCCGATTTAATTGTCTATTAGTTTCACCAAACTCAACAGAATCTTTTGTTCTGCCATCCATGACTCCTGATGTCKTAGCTTGCTGCTGCCATGATGATACATTGCGCCTCGACGGATTTGCGAGCATAATTTTCGAAATTCGTTTCGAAGGTGGCTGCTTCGTATCAGCACTAAATCGAAGTTCTTTTCTTTTCCGCTTGTTGCTACCATGTTCTAAATTGGCAACAGAGCGATTCTTGTTGCCTGCATCGCTTTTTGCCTCACTTGTACCGGCAAGTTGGTCGAGGGGAGCACTCCGAATCAAAGTAGCAGTTGCTTTTAATTCTTCCGGAATGAATCTTTGTGCTCCTACGACTCTCGTCGCTTTTGGCACATCTTCCGTTTCAATAGAAGGATCACTTTCTATAGTCTTCCCAGTCCCAAGCACCTTTCGTCGCTGTTCTTCTCTGAGAAGAACAGCTTTGTTGTAACGTTCCCTGCGACTTTGTATCCATCCTCGCATCAATGCGTCACCTAATGAAGATATTGTGTCTTCAGGAGTAACTTTTTCGTCTAAGGCCAATTTTGAAACGACAGCGTTATCGTCTGAACTGATATCGATACCACTTTCATTTCTCAGCCATCCTTTCCATGCCTGCTGCAGCGGTTCCGGAATCTTATTCTGGAGGACGGGAGTGGCATCATCATCAATGCTGTTTTCGCTCGTTAAATTGAAAGAGGGGCAATTTAATTCAACCCATGCATCTGGGTCTCGTTCACTAAGAATGCTTTTGACGTTTTTCTCTCCGCGACTTGTCTTCAACTTATGTAGTGGGCGTCGTGTTTTTG